AGGAAGGAAGGAAGGAAGGAAGGAAGAGAAAGAAAGAAAAAAAGAAAGAAAGAAAGAAAAAGAAAGAAGAAAGAAAGAAGAAAGAAAAAAAAGAAAAAAGGAAGGAAGGAAAGAAAGAAAAAGAACGAAAAAGAAAAACAAAGAAAGAAAGAGAAAGAAAGAAAGAAAGAAAGAAAGAAAGAAAGAAAGAAAGAAAGAAAGAAAGAAAGAAAGAAAGAAAGAAAGAAAGAAAAGAAAAGAGAAAAAGAAAAAGATAGAAAAAGAAAAACTGGTTGTGTTCGCACGAGGAAGATACGGGTGCGAGAACTCAAAAGAGCAAGGCATTGTGGGTAGCGAATCCATGGAGAGGGAAGACCATGCTTCTCACCGACAAACTCAGTTCAAACCCCATTTTAAGAAAAATAACCCAGTTAGTCCATCTTTCTAAACACTGCCCATGTTCAGGAACGTATTTCTCAACCTTGGGAACTTAAAATGGGTGGACTTCAACTCCCAGAATTCCCCAGCCAGAGTTGAAGTCCACAGATCTTAAAATTGCTAGGGTTGCTAATCCCCTATGCTGGTTAGGGAATTCTGGGAGTTGAAGTCCACCCACCTTATAATTGCTGAGATTTCTAACTCCACCGCTGACTAGGGAATTCTGGGAATTGAAGTCCACCCATTTTAAAGCCACCAAGATTGCTAACAACCATGGTAGCTAGGGAATTCTGGGAGCTGAAGTCCACCCACCTTAAAATGGATAAAGGTTCCTAACCGCCATGCTGGCTGGGGAATTCTGGGAGTTGAAGTCCACCCATTTTGAAGTCACCAAGGGTGAGCAACACAGGTCTGGATAATGCAGTGGTTCTCAACCTGTGGGTCGGGACCCCATTTGGGGTCGATCGACCATTTCACGGGGGTCGCCAAGCAAGGCTGTCCGCCATTTTTTTTGTCCACCATTTTTTTTGTCCACCATTTTTTTCCCCTTTTCTGGCGGGTGCCTTACCGCCCTTGGGCTGGGCCAGCTGGTGGTCGGCCTGCTCCGTCTCTGCCGCTTGCCAGCTACGCCTTGGCCGGCGCAGGGGGCAGAACCACGCATGCGCGGCGCTCCCAGGCAGGGAAAGTCCTCGACTTACGACTGGTTGGGTAGTCCTTGACTTATGACCGGTTTAGTCCTCAACTTACGACCGGTTGGGGTCGCGGCATTAAAAAGGTTGAGAACCACTGGGATAACGGATTGCAAAGCTCACCGTGATGAAATTAAGCACAACCCAGCTACATCATCAACCTTTTCCCCAACCAGTTAGGCCTTTTTCCTGCTTGGCCAAGCCTGTTCCTTCCTTCCCAGCACTCACCTGGAGTCCGGGCCAAAACGGGCCAGCGCATCAGCTCATCAGCCAGCTCAGCAGAAAAGCCCACACTGATTACGGAGGAGTTTTCCCCTTTCGGCACAAATTGCTTTGCTGACTTTCTTTGATGGAGAAGCTGCTTATCCAGCAGATGTCTTCCCAAGCACAGCCAGCCTCTGTGTTTGTGTGTGTGTGTGTCTCAAATTGTGGCCGTGCCAGAAGTATCCCAGAAGCAGATCGCAGCCTTCAGGGAAATAAGTTTCCTGGACCTTCATCATTCGTCATTTCATTTTGGGAGGGAGGGAGGGAGGGAGAGAAGGAAGGAGGAAGATAGGAAGGAAGGAAGGAAGGAAGGAAGGAAGGAAGGAAGGAAGAAGGTGTGGGAGGGAGGGAGGAAGGAAGGGAAGGAAGGAAGGAAGGAAGGAAGAAGAAGGCGAGGAAGGAAGGAAGCAAGGAAGGAAGGAAGGAAGGAAGGAGGAAGGAGAGGGAGGGAATGAAAGAGGGAGGGAGGGAGAAAGGAAAGAAGGAAGGGAGAGGGGAAGGGAGGGAGGGAAAGTGAAGGAAGGAAAAAAGGAAAGAATGAAGGGAGGAAGGGAGGGAAGGAGGGAGGGAGGGGAAAGGAGGGAGGGAAGAATAGAATAGAATAGAATAGAATAGAATAGAATAGAATAGAGAAGAGAACAAATAGAATAGAATAGAATAATAGAATAGAATAGAATAGGTTAGAATATAGAATAGAATAGAATAGAATAGGAATAGAATAGGATAGGATAGGATAGGATAGGATAGGATAGGATAGGATAGGATATGGAATAGAATAGAATAGGATAGGATAGGATAGGATATGGAATAGAATAGAATAGAATAGAATAGAATAGAATAGAATAGAATAGAATCAAAGTTGGAAGGGACCTTGGAGGTCATCGAGTCTAACCCCTTGCTCAGGCAGGAAACCCTATTTCAGACAAATCGTTGTCCAATCTCTTCTTAAAAGCTTCCAATGTTGGAGCACCCACAACTTCTGGAGGCAAGTAGTTCCATTGCTTAACTGTTCTCCCTGTAAGGAAATTTCTCCTTTATTCCAGGTTCCTTCTCTCCTTGGTCAGTTCCCATCCGTTGCTTCTTGTCCTGCCCTCAGATCCTTAGGAGAATAGCTTGACCCCCCTCTTCTTTGTAGGAGCCCCTCAAATATTGAAACACGGCTATCATGTCCCCCTTCGTCCTTCTCTTCATTAAACTAGACATCCCCAATTCCAGCAGCCGTTCCTTGTATGTTTTAGCCTCCAGCCCCCTGATCACCTTTGTGACTCTTCTCTGCACTCTTTCTAGAGTCTCAACATCTTTTTTTTTTTCATAATGGGGTGACTAAAAGTGGATGCCGTATTCCAAGCGGGGCCCTTACTCAGGCTTTGCAAAGCGGTGCAAGAACTTCACCTGATCGTGATTCCATCCCTCTGTTAATGCAGCCTAGGATTGCGTTGGCTTTTTTCCGCCCGTGCAATCAGGCGAGTCCCCCATCCTTGGTGCATTAAGATATTTAGCGGCTGAT